CAAATACTATTGCGAGCAATTATATCGAAGTAAGCAAGTGTAAAATCTTCTGAGGCGTTTTACATACAACGCCTCAGAAAACTAAAGCAAACTATCGTTCTGGAAAGAACTAATTATTTAAATCCATCTTGCACTGTGCATCTTTTATAAACACACGTACACTGCAATATTTACATAATTTACATTTAATTAAAAATAATATATTTCATATCCCATATGGTCTAGTGGCTAGGATACCTGGCTTTCACTCAGGAGGCTCGGGTTCGATTCCCGGTATGGGAATAACTTCGTATATTTAAAAATGGACCGGCCGTGGTCCCGTGGTAAGAACGTGGGCTAGCAAATCCTAGTCCCGGGTTCGAATCCAACTGCGGCCGGTTCGGTATCAAAGCAGCTTGATACCAAATTTTCACTTGAAAAATAGATTTCAAATATGATTTCAAGTGAAAATGCCTTCGTGGGCAAAGCTGTAGTGGCAAACACGCCACTTGGAAGTAAAGAGGTACTAAGATGGTATCGCTTTGAAATACAAAAAGGAAGTCGAATTTGTATCCCTATACAACAGAAAAATGTAAAGGCTCTGACATCGTGCAACCATGATTGAGTGCATTTTCAACTCAACCCACGGACCTGCCCTGGAAGAAATATTTGTAAAGAAAAATGTAATAAACAGTAAAATATGTAAAGAAAAAGTAAAATATATGTAGTATGTAAGATAAAAAGGAAAATAATTAGTAATAAAAGTTTCAAAAAAAAAAAAAAAAAAAAAAAAAAATACTATTGCGAGCAATTATATCGAAGTAAGCAAGTGTAAAATCTTCTGAGGCGTTTTACATACAACGCCTCAGAAACTAAAGCAAACTATCGTTCTGGAAAGAACTAATTATTTAAATCCATCTTGCACTGTGCATCTTTTATAAACACACGTACACTGCAATATTTACATATTTACATTTAATTAAAAATAATATATTTCTTTCGTACACGCATTGAATTTTTATTCGTTTCCGCAACGTAGAAAGCGTAGCGTTCAAAATTAACCGATGCAAAATTAATCGGCGCGCATTTCAAAATTTGAATTTAATGACGTGTAACTATCGTAAAAGATTGAAGGCTTCCTAAAACATCGCTTTGAAGAAGTCTTGGTAAGATTTAATTATCTTTTTTCATGACATCACGGTTGGTGAACATCTCACGAGAACGTGCGTCTGCTTCGTTGGGTATGGTCATGTCTGTAATAACAAGATACACGATGTATATTACTCCGGTGCCTCGTTGAAATACTCAGAAAATATTATTGCATTGCAATAAACATCATTCTCAATTTATTTTATATCCTTCCAACTGGAATATTTTCAATAACAAAAAATATTCAAGTTTTATATAATTTCAAATCATCTTGCAATTTGCTACAATGTATCAAATAGCTTGTAGCTGTGTGTCCACAATGTCTACAATGAAGACATTTTCAATGTCTTAGGTTATGTATTAAAAAAAATAGTAAAAATTAATAAAAACCATTGAAAATCATAATTTTTAGAATTTAATTAAAACCTATGAAAATTATTTTCCTAACAATTTTGAATAATATCATAGAACTCGTTAAGTTCTGATCACTGTGAATAATATAAAATTATTATTTTATTACAAATAAAAATACTTTTACAAAATATAGATATTGCTAAACATAAATATTCAAAATAATAGATAAAAAATTTGAAAAATGTTCCATATAATAATTTGTTTGTTGAACGTTAAACTTACTAGTTTGCTCTAGAAATTTTGTTATAAGTGTAAATTAGCATTATACATAACAAAGGACCATTTTTACTAAACCAGTTTATATCTATACATTATATCATTGAATATTTATTTTTAAAAAAAAATTTAAAAATAAAGCTGTCTAATAATTATTTTAGTAAGTGTTAGAACATTCAAAATATTAAATAAGAAGATATAAATAAAATCAATATAATAATTTGTTTGTTGAACGATAAATTCTGCAAGAAATTTTATTAAGTGTAAATTGGCATTATACATAGCAAAGGTCCACTTGAATGCAAATATAATTGAATATTTATTCTTAAAAGTAAATTTCGGGAATAAAGTTATGTAATAATTAGTTTAGGAACTTTTCATTTGAATGCTGCATATACAAATCATTAAGTATTAAAAATATTGAATCATTTAATTTTTCAAGGTATAAAACCTTGCAATTTTTTTTTCAATAATTTAAATTTTTTGTTAATCAAAATTATAACATTTATTTTTGTTGCTATTTTCAGTGAAAGTAGATTCTGTTCTTTATTACATTAGAAACTAATTATGAAATAAAAATTAGCATTTTACCACAAAGTAAATCTGATGTAAATTAATTTTGAATTCTGGGTATTTTTCATGTATTGTCTACATATTATGCATACGTAACAAATGTATGACTCAACTTATTTTATTTTTTTTAATTTCTCAAATAAAATCTAAGAATAATAATATTAAATGCAAGAATTTTGAGTAGTATCTTGAGACATAAATTGCATTGTAGAGGTTCTTATATAAAATATCTCCTGCATTCAAAAAGCGATTTCTCTCAGTACTGTATCATAACAAATTATTTTCACAATATTCATTATACAAGACCGTTATTCATAATTATTTAAAGCGTAAGGAATATTGCAATATACCGCAGCGAATTTCACGAATTATAATACAACTTTGTATGTAATGACTGCAGTATTTTCTTCAGATATATAATAGAATAAAAGCGAAGCAAGGATATTACAATAATAGCTCAAGGCAAAAAAACGCAGATAAAACTTTTGTGTTTAGGGAGATGATTGTAAATAATATTTGCGTATATATTTTACAAGTTTTTGTTTATAATATTACATTTCATACTTTCCTAAACTATCTGAGTTTTATCTTAAAAATATTTAACCTATCAAAAATGCAGAGTTGATGTCCATGGTTCAGGGTGTATACTTTCATAATACATTGAATTTTAATTCATTATATAATTTCATTACGATTGTCGGTTAACAGTTGTCTTCCTCTCGTCGTGTACATTAAAATAAAGTGTTATGCATAAAAAATCTTCTATTGCAATAATAACAAACCGCGAAGTGAGCTTTTGCCCGTGAAGTAGGTTATTGCAAAGGCGATCACGTTGTTCCTCACGAGAAAGTGATCTATATCAGCTCACGCAGGCAAATTATGAATTGTATAGTATTGTATTATTAGTTGTGTTAACGGTACTTCTCATGATTCAATTCTGTTATTTAATTGCTTTATGAAATACTTATTCATATCGCAGAATTTATAATTTGTATAATGATTAAGGTGATAGCATGAATTCGTGAACGAAAAAGATTGAAGAAGACAATGTAAGATTTCGAATATCCATTCACTATTATACCTAAAATATTTCATTTTCGTAGCATTATGCTGATTTTTTCCTAAATTGAACTACTTTATACAAATTCCATAAGCATATAAATCTCTTAGTATATTTAAAACGTTAAGCGCCACGATAATAAAAATTTCCACATGGGTCGTGGTAACTTTATTAAATGATTTAGTTAAAAATGTATCAAGAAAAAAAAATTTTGACAGAATTTCTGGAAAGGCACTATGTTTTATATCACACATATATGACTGACATGATCTTATATTAAAACTTTTTTCTTGAAAATCTATTAATTAACTTCCCGTAGGGTAATTGTAATGGGCCGAAAATCGAAATTGAAAATTTTTACATTTCTTGACGTTTTGAAGGTTTCTGAACATTTTGGCATACCTCAGAAAAAATGGATGTGTGTGTGTATGTATGTATGAATACAAATTTCCAGTCACGATTCGGGCACACGGATCAACCGATTTGAATGGTTCGATTCCTATCAATAGGAAGAAGAGCTGATTAGTTTTTGGCAAAGGCAGGTCCAGCCGTTTCGGGGGTACGAATTTGAGTGAACGGAGCATCCGATTTGAATTATCTGAATTAGTAATGATTGGGAGAATTGATTATTAGTTTTTGGCAATGGCAGGTCTAGCCATTTCAAAGATACAAGGCTAAATGTGCAAAAAATGGCAGTTTTTGAGAGAACTAAGCGTCCAATTTAAATGATTCAATGAACTTTCAGCTTGTTTTAACAATATAATTGATTTTGAAAAAAAAAATTGCATCATTTGCAAAGCGCGTAAGAGCCGCGTCGCCGCCTAATGGACAAATACACAAATGATACGAAACCCATATAAATGTAAACAAAATTGATACAAATTGATACAATTGAAATCTGGATAAAGTATCTGATAATTTGATGTGCATATGTCTAAATGCTCAGAAACCTTTGAAACGTAAAGATAAATAAAAATTTTTATTTTCGATTTTTTTTGCTGTTAGTATAACTTACCCTACGGGAAATTAATACAGTAGAACTCCAATTATCCGAATTAATGGGGACCGGGACTCATTCGGATAATCAAATATTCGGATAATTGGAGTTTTTTTTAAAAATTGCCATTGGAAAGAAAAAAAGTTACGTTTTGATATTGCACTATTTTTTTATTGTATTAAATGAAAGAAACGTGACATTTTCACATGTTTTAAATATAAATAAAATGTACTTATGTACAAGTTTAGAAATAAAACTCGTTGTTTTGTAAACATCTCCGTCAAATCAAAACAATGTGCCTACACTGGCTTTGCTGGTGGAAGAATAATAGCGCACTTAGACTTTTTTTGGACAATTTTTTTTCTGAAAGTGATTCGGATAATCGGCGATTCGGATAGTCGGAGTTCGGATAGTCGGAGTTCGGATAGTCGGAGTTCGGATAGTCGGAGTTCGGATAGTCGGAGTTCGGATAGTCGGAGTTCGGATAGTCGGAGTTCGGATAGTCGGAGTTCGGATAGTCGGAGTTCGGATAGTCGGAGTTCGGATAATTGGATTTCTACTGTATATATGAACTTTAATTATTATCAATTATCAATTATCTTCTATCCCCAGATGAAGCAGTATTCGATACAGAGCCGAACACAGTGTCCCTTCGTCGGGAGATTCCGGTGCGCGACGTGAACGACAACCCGCCTCGTTTCCATGGGCGTCCCTACAGGGCGAGAGTTCGCGAAGGAGGCTCGGCTGGTGCCGTAGTTCCTGTCCGACCCGAAGTGTTGGTCACGGATGCCGATGGCGGCATCAACGCCGACGTGACGGTTGTCTGCTCCGCCGCAGGAGATGACTCTTGTGATGCCTTCGACGTCGAAACCGTGAAACTGACTGACGGGAAATTTCAAGGTTAGTACACCGGATGCGTTTAATGTAGCTATTTTGTTGAAGTTGAAGTTTATTTATGAAAGTGTATGGAGGTGCATTATGTCGATAATACCGTACTTCCGATTTATTTAGTATATTTATTATAGTTTGCATTGATAATAATACCATTTTTAACGTTAGAATTATATTATATCAGCATGTATAACAGCATGTTTTTAGGAGGAGAAGGGGTTTGTCAAAAAATTACGAAATATCGCGTGGTGGAGGGAGGGGTATAGTTAGGTATCACATGTATTTATTTTTTAACTGATGTTTTGAAAAAAAATTCAAACATTTTCAAAAAAAGTTCAAAAGTTTTACAGTTTATCACATAACTAAAAATACACGTAATGTTTGGTGGGAGAAGGGGTGGTTAATTTTGAATATCACTATGTATGAACAAGGGGGAGGGGGAGTCTATAAATCCTTAAACACTCGCTCATGTGGTTAATAGACACCTCCTTATACCAAATCAAAAAAAGGACGAAATTATTTTTTTGTAATATGTGAATTCTTATATTTCTATTGAAATATATAAGGTAACAGCTAAACCATACTGAGTTTGAGATATACAAAAAGATAAATATGAAGTATGTTTGTTAGAACAAGTTTTCGTTATTACTTGGAGTCAGCGTTCTATATTAACATGATCTGTAGACCAAATTTTTTTTAGTAATAGCTGTTACTTGTTCACAGATAGATCACTTTATATATTATTTTGCTGCAAGTTTTGTTTTTTGTCACACATTTATTTATTATGATATGTATTTCGTATTCTTTTTGGGAGAAATTTAAACAGATAACAGATATGAATTCTTATATTTCTGTCCAAATATATAAGGTAATAGCTAAACCATACTTATTTTGATATATACAAAAGGAGAAATATGAAGTATGTTTGTTCGAACAAGTTCTCATTATTATATGGAGTCAGCGTCCTATATTAACATGATCTGTAGACCAAATTTCTTTTAGTAATACCTGTTACTTGTTCACAAATAGACCACTTTATTTATTATTTTGCTGCAAGTTTTGTTTTTTGTCACACATATATATATTATTACATGTATTTCGTGTCTTTTCGGGTGAAATTTAAATAGATAAATAAAAATCTAAGACAAAAAATGAAACAGAAAGAAAAAGGAAACTTTAATACAAGACAATTCGTTGTAGACAAATGTTCAAATTACTAGTTTCTTCCAGCTAACTGGTAAATTAACAAAATTATTGCTGATCAAAAAAATTGGCACCACCGTACCCAGTCTTCCTTAATAATAATAAAACAAAAAGTAATTTAACCTGCATAAATTTCTGCATTAAAAAATTCATTTTACTAATAAACTGCATTTATGATTATTATTATAGCTGAAATAACCCTGAAACGGCCATTGGATTTTGAAACGAGGTCATCGTATTTGTTGACATTGAAGGCTTATGATGGTGGTTATTCTCCTAAGTCGGCTTTTGCCACGGTAGCCATCGATGTCGAAGACGTTCAGGATCAACCACCTGTATTCCTTGGTGCTCCATACTCCGCCACAATTCCTGAGAATTTACGAGCGGTGAGTAAAATAAATAATGGGAAATAAAAGGTTTATTGATGTAAATGTTTTATGAAAGTCTCATGTTCCGACTATAAATATCTAACTTACTTACAATTAATTTTATTGTTTTGATATTTGTTTAGACTAAAGGCTTACTAGTTGAATGTATATTTCTGCAATAATATGTGTATTCATGTGTATGTGTTCCACTTTGGAACTTTTAATTTTTGTTAAAAAGTTGCACCTACTCTGGATAGAGTTGACCAAACGGTAATACATATATTTTTCTACTTTGCATCCAAAAGATCTGTGCAAAATGCAAATATTACTTTATCAGTTTCGCGAGTTATTTATTGAAACTATTAGATACATAAATATTTTTAAATTGTTTTTTTATAAAATCTGTGTGTTTATCACCTCTCACACCAAATTTAAAATATTTTTTTAGACGATGAATATATTTTTTTTAAATTTGTTTATTATCTTAGGATACATCAATTTTACAAATCTTTGCAATGGATGGCGATGTCGGTAATCCTCGGGCGGTTCTGATGACTTTAGAAGACGACGATTTAGGCTACTTTGCTCTGACTTCTAATTTAACAACAGGTGGTGCTACTCTGATTACAACAGAAATTCCAATAGATCGGGAACATCCAATGGTCATTGAAAACGGAGGAGTGTATACGTTTAACGTTAGAGTAAGTAAATGGAAATCATTGCTCGTAAACATTTTACTTCTTCTTAACTTAATTTGATCAAAATTTTATTTCGTTTTCTTTGAACTCTTATATATAAAATTCCGTTCATAGTACATAAACCAATTGTCTCAATTTTGACATGCTAATTGATTTTATTATCACCGAATCATTACAAATTATAGATTATGTGTAAATTTAGTATTTGTTTATTCAATTTGAACAATATAGTTTCTGACGTATTGTGCAAATATATGTACTGAATTGATTTGCACATTTCAATGAGCAGAAATTGAAAAAGAGAAAGCTATCAGAATTGTTATCAAATACGTGTTGGTTATTTTATTTTTACGAATAACTGTAAACAATTAAGAATCTTGACACACTAATTATATTTTAATTTATCATTTTCATATATAGAAATCATTTCCAAAAATAAATGCTTTTAGGAAACATTTAGGCATAATTATTGTATTTACTAAATTAGTTTTGTAATTTTATGATCTTCATTGTATAGCGTTCTTTACTATCAGTTTGTATATAGTTATATTTTTATTATTTGATATTATCAAATTTTTATCGCAGGCGACTGAGTTGATAAACAATGAAGTTCCAGCCGATTCCGCAGTTTCACAAATTAACATTGTCATCACTGATGTGGACGATCATCTTCCAGAATTTAATCAACCCTTATTCGAAGTTCTTATACCTGAAAGTTTAGAAAATGGAACTCCTTTACCAGGTCTTCCAATTGTAGTCAGTGACGACGATCTCGGCGCAAATTCGCACTACGACATATCTCTTCGAGGTGCTAATAATGCTTTTGAAGTTCTGCCAACTACTGCTGAAGGAAGAACGCCTATTATTATCAAAGTCAAAGATTCAAGTGTTCTCGATTACGATGTAGATGATATTTCTAAAAGAACCATTGAATTTGATGTAGTTGCATCAGTTGAATATGAAGAAGTTGCAAGTACTCACATAGTTCTTCACACACAAGATGCCAATGACAATTCGCCAATGTTTGGCCAAGAGACTCGTCACATGGAAGTCGAAGAAAATGCAAAATTGGGTTACAAGATAGCTGATATATCAGCTACCGATAAAGACAGTGGTGTGTATGGTGAAATTATGTATTCATTAAAAGGATTTGGTAGTGAAATTTTTAAAACAGATCGAAAAGAAGGCGGTTTGTTTGTGAATGGTGTTCTGGATTATGAAAAACGTAAAAGTTACAGTTTGACGTTAGTGGCAACTGATGGAGGAGACCGAGAATCGACAATAAATTTGTTTGTTGATATTAAGGATTTAAACGATAATGCACCTATGTTTGATGCTTTAGAGTATACGAGGATCATTAGGGAAGGATCAACTGGATTTGAACCTCAATTTATAATACAGGTGAAACTTTATAATTATTTCTAAACCACGATATTGATAACTCGAGTTTCACAAATAATCTTTTGTTCATTACAAGAAAATAAAAATGTATCATTTATCATATTATTTTTCAGGCAACTGATTTGGATGGGCCTCGGCAAGGCGGAAGTAATTTAACTTATTCAATTGAGTCAGAAAACACATTAAGCAATGACGTATTCACGGTCAATTCGTCAACAGGAGAGATTCTGATCAGGAAACCTGTCAGTTCTGCGGACACTGCCCGCGGACAATATGAACTCACTTTACGAGCGACAGACCATGGTATTTGCACTTTCAAATCATTATCATTTCTTTTTGCTTTCTGTTGCAATAGTTGAATCATGTGCAACTTTATACAATATTTCCGTATTTCTTTGATGTAAGTGATACATAGTTGTAAAATTGTTTGAAATTTAGAACTATGTAGAAAAGAGACATTTTTTAAAAATAGTTACATGAACATTTTATCTTTACTGATACACATAGCTTTCAGATTGATTATTCAATTTTGCTAGATCTTCAGAATTATATTAATTTTTTTTTTTTTATATTTTAGGTAAACCTCCACTTTATAATGAAACGCGTGTTCTGGTTCGCGTTGGGATTGCTGGAAATCAGCGTCCAGTTTTTCGTGGCGGTTCCTCGAAGCATATGATTGGTCGACCTGGTCCGGAAAATTATTATGCTGCCTTGCCTGAAAATTCTGCACCTGGAACACCTGTCATTCAGGTGACTGCTACTGATCCAGACGGTCCAGATTCGCAGCTTAGATACAGGGCTGCTGGCGGTGAAGGGCGGGACAACTTTGTCGTTGACGAGAAGTAAATAATAATAAAAAGAAATATTTTAAATAATTTTACTTAATAAAGTGCTATATACAATTTAATATATGGATTCAAAATAAGTTAGCATGATATAAATTAATTCATAATTATTTTGTGACAGAAACGGAATTATAACAGTTGGTCGAGAAGCTCGTTTGGATCTGGGCTCAAATCCTCATGAATATGCGTTGCAAGTAATAGCAATTGACAATGGTCAACCATTTCCAGAAACAGCTACAACTACTGTCTTCATCAATATCACGGTAAATAATCAAAAAATCTAAAAACTCCGATGATAACTTTCGTCTCTACTATAACATATTGAAATATATCACCACCAGCTACCATGTGTTGGTGTACATAGTTATATTAGATAATTGTTAAGAATCAAGAAAGAAAATAATTTTTAAACTTTTATATGTTATCAATACTTTAATTTTTTAGGATGTGAACGATAAACCTCCTCGCTTCAATGATTCTGCCTTAGTCGCTTTTGTATCAGAACGAGCTGAAATAGGGACTGTAGTAACCAGAGTGTTTGCCAAAGATCCTGATGAAGATGCATTGCTTCACTATTCAATAATAGAACCCATAGCATCTGTTACAGGCAACGGAATTCCACTAAAATCCGTAGTTCGATACGATTTCAAAAACGCATTCAAGATAGACAAACTCACTGGAGAAATATTAGTCAACAACACAATGGATTACAATTCTGCAGCAGTGATAGTCTTAACAATAGAAGCTAGAGATGTAAATGCAGCTTATAATAAAGAAGATCAAGTCGATACTACACAGATTACGATGTATGTACAAGCATATAAAGATGAAAATCCTATATTCGAAATAGATGGATGGTCTCAGATTAAGCCTTACATCACAAAAGATATCGATGAAGAATCGCCTATAGGTAGTGTTATACTCACAGTAAGTGCTAAAGACGGAGTGAATGGTAAACCTGTGACCTTCTATCGCATATTGAATCTAATACTGATTTAGTACAAATAAATGAAATCAATGGAGCGATTTCTATTGCCAAACGAGTGGACTATGAAGCCTTGGAGAATAATACGTTAACATTCACAGTAGAAGCAAAAAGTATTGATTTATCAAGGTCAAGCCTAGCTAAAGTTAATTTTACAGTGCACAATATTAACGATAATGCACCAGTTTTTGAGAAGAAAGAATATTCTACGACGGTGATGGAATCTGCAAAATATCCCGAGAGAGTTTTGACAATTAAAGCTGTAGATGCAGATTCGCAAAGAACAAAAGATGATAAAGAACTGGGATTTGGTGATGTAGTTTACTCATTAGCAGGACAACACGCTGATTTTTTTACGATTGATCCAGTTTCAGGTGTTATATTAGTAAGTAACGAAAACTATTATAGACATTTTTGCCTGATTAAATTATCAACTTTTTAAAATAAGTCTAATAAATTATAACAACTTTTTTAAAATAAGTCTAAAATATTAATAGTCTTTTATGTCTAATAAATTCAGTTTTGTATCATTTTTTCTAGATTGCTCCAAATCGAACACTTGACTGGGAAGTTCAATCAGTATTGAGATTTTCCGTTATAGCCCGTGATTCTCCTAAAAGTTCTTTGGATGCTAAAACCAGTTCTGCTTTGGTAATAGTTGATGTTCTAGATGTGAATGATAATGCGCCAAAATTCGTACTAGAAGAATATATGGGTAAAAATTAAATTATAGTTTTGTCGATTAATGTAAGCATCAGCAAGTTGAATATTAGAAAAATCTCTATTTTTATTTTAGCTGTAATTCCTGAGAATATACATAAGGGTTCAAGTATTATAAATATCACAGCAACAGATCCTGATGATGGACTTGGTGGTGATATCAAATATGAAATTCTTGATGAAGGCGATGCAAATGGTAGAACAATTGTATATTTTCAAAAATACATTTTGTACAACTTTAATTAATTACAGGATTACTAGAAATCAACGCAACAACAGGCGAAATTAAAACTAAGAGTGTTTTAACTGGCAAAGGCAGAAATGAACCTTATTTACTTACCATTAGGGCACAAGATGGTGGTTTATTGGTAAATTATTTTGAAATAATTTTTATTGTGTTGTTATCACTTTTGACTAATATTACAATTATTTTAGGGTTTGAGTGATAAAATATTACACACAGATACTTCTTTGACATTATACATTGGTGATGTGAATGTAAATGATGGTGTGCCAGTTTTTATAAAACCTGCAGTAGACCAACCAGCATTTATCAGCGAAGTATATATTTTATAATCAATCTCTTATTTTATACCATTCATTGAATTTACAATATTTTAAAACATTTTTATAGAATGCGACTATTGGTTCACCAGTATTTCAAGCAGTTGCATCTGATCCTGACGATCCGTCACAACCTTCAGGAAAATTGATATATAGTATTCAGGATGATACAAGTGACACATTAGCTTTTAAAATAGGTAATTTAATATTTTGTAAACGTCAATTTTATTGTAGTTATCATTCTATTGATCTGTAGTAATATTAAATTAATTTGATACATTATTACCCTGATAGATCCATATAGTGGGCTCATCACAACTACTCGAGCACTAGATAGAGAAGCCAAAGATTCCTATAATATAATATTAGTGGCTTCCGATAGAGGATCACCTCCTCAAGTCGCCACCAGAATTTTGAAAATCAAAGTTACAGATGTTGATGATCATACGCCACGATTCCAAAGAGATGTGGTAAAGTATTTATTAAGCACATATTTCTGTTTATTCTGATGAAGATTTTAACATTATATTGATGTTGATCTAGGATGCACCACCATTGAAAATGTCAATAGAAGAAGAGCAGCCGAATGGCACAATTATTGGCAGTTTTAAAGCTATGGATGAAGATATTGGTGAAAATGGTGCCATATCGTATTTCATTACAGGCAAGTCGAAATTATAAGTTTAAAATGTAAAATTCTGCATATTTATAATATATTTTGTTGTACTACTTTTAGATGGTAATGAACATAATCTGTTTTATATTGAGCATGCAAAGGAAAATACTGCTAACTTGAGAACTAATGGTAGACTAGATCGAGAAGACATTAGTCAGCATCTTTTGACTATAAAGTGTTTTCCAACAAGATCAAAACCAATTCATGGACTGCGAAAGCAATATAATAAATTGGTAAGTTATTTGATTCAATAGTTATCTATAATTTTATCAAGAAAATTATAATAGTTACGACTAGTTTTTAATTTTGGCATATTTTTTTATCTAGGATCCATCAGAACTGCAAGTATCGATTTTGGTAGAGGATATCGATGATCATTTGCCTGAATTCGATCAACAACAAAATTTAACTCTTGGAATCCGATTAAATGTGCCTGCTTATACATCTTTGATCACTGTTCATGCAACTGATGAAGATTCTGATTCAGGTCCAATGAATTATACTCTGTACGATGTTGCATTTGAATCACCACTTTTCGATTATGAATTACCAGGTAAGCAGACTGGATTTATTAATTTAAAATTAAATTAGATTTTTTTGCAATTACTTGTTAAATCATATACATTTTTATCTGAATATGGCTTTACTATGTCAACCAACGGTTTGTTTTTAAAGAGACCAACAATAATTATAAAATTGAAATTTGGAAGAAAATTCAAATAGCAAATTATCTAGTGCTAGATTGTTTGGTGCGCTTAGATATTAATGTAGGAAAATAAAATATTTAGAATTTCTATTATCATTTTTAAAATTTAAATTTAAATTAACCAGATCAATTTTTTTGGTATTCTTCTAGGGCTCCGAGCATCATTTGCCTTGAATTCAGTAACAGGTGACTTGAGAACTGCAGGAAAGCTTGTAGACTTTGTCGATGGATTTTTCAGGTATTATTATAATATTTATCAAAATAAAAAAGAAACTATATGCTTCACAATACTTATATTTGATTTTTTCCAGTCTAATCATACGAGCTAATAATTCTATGGATCCTGAACGTTATTCAGATCTGTATATACAGGTACGATAATATAATTCATAAAAATCCTAAATATTGAAAATGACATAATAAATTGAGTCAAAAAATTTATTATAATATTTTTATTACAGCTGTACATAGTTCGTGATCGATCTTTGTTAAGATTTGTCTTTACAAGACCTCCCCGTGATATGGCAAATCATCTTGATGCCTTTACAAAAGATGTTCAGAATGCTCTTTAAAAAAGCAGATGTTTTAAATGAAGAAGAATTATCGCAAGATGTAAAATTGCATGTATATGACACACAAGTACTAGTGAAGAAAGACCAAAGTCTGGATTTTGGCTCCTCAAGGTAAAAGATCATGATGATCAATTTTTATTTATTTTCTTAGTTGCGATATCTTGTTCTATAAATTTAATTTAAATTTAATATTTTTATAAATTTAATTTTGTATCCTTACTTTTATGAGTCGTTCTATATTTATTTTATTTTACTAATTATCAACTATTGTTTTATACTCGATATTTAGTAATTTCATTTCGCAAGAGTAAATGTGGATTAAAAATATTACAGAATAGATGCGACACATACATATATATATTATCGTTACAATTTCTAGACATTTTTATATATATTTTCAATAACAATTATAATTGACCTTCATAAATTTTATTATCAACAGCAAACATTTTTAGAAAAATATAATTAACTTGACAATTTCAATTGATCAATCAGTTGAGCGTATGATTTTAAATATATGGAAATGCTTCAACAAATTTATCACAAATCCATAGCAATATCAGCAAGTCAAAATTTAAAAACAAAGGCAAAATAAGTTTACCACAGGAAATGATTTCTATAACAAGTGATATATTATTAGCATATAACATCCTTTGCAATGTCTTCGGGAAAATCTAATTCAATTTGAACGTTTTATGTCTAATAATTGGTAGAAGCAGTTTTATGTCTAATGACTAGTAGAGAGCAAATATTCTAAAGATGCTTTTAAAAATCGGCTAAAATATATTCACATTAAACTTCATAAGTTTGATAAGTTTTATATATGTGTGTGTATATATATATAAATATATATATATATATATATATATATATATATATATATATGAAACTATCAAGGCGTGCCATGAGTATATAATATTAATTTTATGCTATGCTCTTCCACCTATATTTAATTCTATCTGTTGATAATACTACAGCTGTTTTCAAGGCTAAGATGCTCTCATGTTTCAAGGACTCATTTGTAAGATTTATTGAATATAAACATTCAATCTCATTAAAGTATAATATATTTCATTTTTCTATTTATGGCTTTTATGGTTTTCGAATCAGAAAAAATTTTGCCAAAATTTTAATGAAATTTACTCACTAACCAATTAAAACAAAAATGGCGTATAAGTCAAGATTTTGAAGCAAGAATAAATAACTTTAATTTAATTTAATCTTAATAAGAATTTTATATAATTATATTACCAATTGGTGTCTCTGTTGGTATTTCAAAATGTAAGAAAATATGTCATCATTTTACTGAATCATATATAATACAACAGAAATAGTGGTTTGCTCATACATCTATATATAGTACATCGATTAACTCAATTTTATTGTCATCCATTATCGAATTTCATAAAAAAATTACTTAGGTAAACAATGATATCTTTTTTGTTTATTGAATTACTGGTGTTAGATAAAGGCTTGTTATAAAAACCACTGTTTCCGGGTTTAACACCCAACCTAAATAATAGAACTATATTTATATTTCGGATGCAGGATCAGACTCATTACAATAAAAAAAATAATTAAATTAATATTAAATATCTTGGAATTCTTCTAACGGTCAAAAATTCTTTCTATATCTAAAATATGATCTCCGGTGAAAATAGCCTTTTGGGACTTTGCTCGAGATCAAATGTGGGAAACCAATGTGTTGCCTTCTAGTAACACTAGATGAAGAAAACACATCACCAAATCATGGAACATATTTAAAAATATGCTAAGAACACATGTTCTGATCGTTTTCAAAATATTCGATTATTGAGGCACCTTCTATATATTGAAGTTTATTAATAAGATCTGTGTCAAGACCAGTTCAAGGGCTACGTTTGGCTTTGGACCACTCGAACAGAAAACTGTTGTCTTTCAAAACCTATTCATTTCATGGCAATAAACTCTATCTTTAATATCAACTGTTAAAGCAGTACAATATTTATTATGATTTATATTCGACCTCGTATAAGCTGAGTTTGACAAACCTGATGCAAACTCGAATATTGCACGTGTTTTAATATATGCAGATGTCATAATATGTGTGCTCGTGCATATCATACGCTTATCGTATAGGTAGCCATTTAGTGTCTAGATAAAACTAGTTTATTTTTGCTTAATTGTAATTTTAGTATCTCTTAATCTACCTAAGTGACAGAGGTCAGAGTTGCTTGAACAGGAAAATGTTGACTCGGCAAAAACTTTTAAGTAGATCATAAAACGATACAAAAGCTA